TTTTTATACTGTACAAACCATATTTTCTATCGCCCTACACCAACCCTACACCTAAACCTACCCCTCACAGAAAACTTTGTGCATTTTTAGATTTTCAAAAAACTTAATTCGGTATGATTTATAAGCTTGCTTCCTCATCGGGACCTCAAAAATGTCACATTTGGTCCCCATAACATGATAAATACCAGGTACACACACACACACACACACACACACATCTTAGGTCAATCATGAAGACAAAGTTTCTAGTGAGGTGTTTATACACCAAATATAAACCATAAACACTAGATATAAAGCATTTCTGTGTAACTGCTGTCAGCCAGGAGTTATTTACTTATTTACTTACATTTACATTTACTTATGACAAACTGATTATATAATATTACAATTTATAGTAGGTGAAGTGTAAAATTTATGCGGCCTAAATTGGAATTGCAACCGCATACAGAAATAACATTTGGAGCAGGATTGGAAGATCGGAGTCCTGTTCAAAATGAACTAATCAAAGTAATTTCATTATATTTTCAATATCCAAATTCCCTGAACACGTCCACATATGTGATCTTTGATCATATTTTGGATTAGTAAAATTAACTATTTTATAATTAGGGATCTAATTCCTAAATGAATGAATTGCTCATCACTGTCTAAAAGATGTTATTTTTAACCTTTATTAAACCTTTTCAAATAACAAAATAAACACAAACACAATAAGTCCAAGCAGCATACACCGAAAGAGAAAAAATAAATGCATAAATAAATAAATGCATAAATAAATAAGGATTGATGTTTAATAACATTTTCTAATATTTTTTATGCCACAAAACTTTGAGCAAATTTAACAAATCAACTAATTTATTAATTAATAAAATAAAATAATTACTTTATAAATACTGAAGTATATAACAGCAAATTATAACAAATTTAAAGGGGTTAATTAATATTTATTGAAAGTCATTTAAAGAGTTTTAAGGCAGTCTTTCTTTCAGCTGCTTTAAGGGTTGAAATAACTTTTTCAAGACATTTTTAAACACCAAGTTAAGTTCTATGTGTGGTTTGAAATGCGATACAGTGCTTTAAAAAAAAGAGTCCATGCAGTGAAGACAGACAAATGACATCATGAGCTGACGGTTCATATTTTATAAAAACCTAAAAGAGTAACAACATCCTTCAAAAGGCAGCAGAGCTTTCCTGATCCATCCTACTTACTTTTTAAAAGATTGTGGCCACTGAAAAATATAATTAAACAGGAATGAGTCATCTACTTTACTTAAAATCAATCTGAAGTGCAAACTCAAAAACATTGCATGTGGCACATCCTCTCGGTTAACTTAAAACAAATGGCAGCATATCTGCGGTTATGGCTCATTATACTTTAAGGTCAGTCATTTTTGACAGTTATTTGCCCGACCATAAGAGCCTGACTGTGAGATGCTTGCTATTTGATATCGGTGTGGTCGACGGGTAGAGATTCCTGGCCTGACATCAGAGAGGTTACGATGTTACCGTGGCCTTTTAACAAGCGCCATGGCAACAATGTGACCTCCTGAGAACGAGGCGGATGTTAGGCATGCTGCTATTTCAGACCACATGATCAGAGAGAGTTTCTCATCATCAGAGTGGAAACATCTTGATGAAGTTGCATTGACACCTCCGACTCCAAAACAAGAAATTAGTGCTCAACTGGTATTGTTTTTCAACTGCAGATGCTGAAATGAGGTAATATATATCAGGGTATCTGCAGGTTAAGACCAAGTAAAGCAATAATCTGAAGGGAACATAAATCTTCCTCAGTAAACGTCTTGTTTTCCAGTGAAAATGTCTAAACGATTCTTAAATCAAGATATATTTACCTGAGACGCAGCATGACATAAATAGTCTTGTTTTCTGAGAAATGTATTAAAATTAAGTGAGTTTATGATTAAAAAAATAAATAAATAAAAAATGGGCTTAGAAAAGTCAACTTAATTTAAAGGGAAAAGGTTTTTGAGAGATATTTGTTCTTGTTTTAAGCATAAGCTCACTTAATTTAGTTAAGTTTCTCAAAAAAAAACAAGACTTTATATCTTCATTTAGCATCTCAAGTAAATGTATCTGTTTAGATATTTGAATATAGAAGATATTATTTTTTTGCGGTGCATGCAACATTTAATGCAATGACATTACACACACACACACACACACACATACATACTGTATATATATATATATATAGAGAGAGAGAGAGAGAGAGAGAGAGATAGAGTAATTCAGTTTAATAGCAAACAAGATGTAAACAGTGATTAAACATTAAACATTTCTTATTCTAGTTTTACTTGAAAATTCACTTCTTGTGCATTAAAACTGCCCTTAACCAGCAGATTCTAACCCATGTTTATATAGCAAATATGGCATCACCTTTAATAAAATGTACAGCTATATTTTCCCATTCTGAGAAGACAACTCAGTCAAAGGTCTTATGTGCATGTAAAAATATACAGAAGAAAGTCTAAAACTGTGAGGTCAGTTTATGCCACCTATATTTTTCTGGTGTCGTATTTATAGGATTGTAGAGCATCTGTGTGGCTGAGTGCCTGAGGATTCCTACAGCGTATCAGCTTACTACTCAGAGCTCTGGAATATATTTATCATCAGGCCAGATGATGTCAGAAAGGTTTCATAGTAACTTTGGTGATGGTCATCAGTCATGATTCACGGAAACATTTATGGTCAGTCAGGAACATTATTAAATTAATGTATTGCAGAAATATACATATTTTTATGTTAAATCATTTTTATGCTAAAATGCCTTCTGTCAGGTCATTGGACCGTTAATTGAAATATATAAAATTCACTGTACAAAATTATTTTTCGAAGATTATTGGAGTACATTTTACAAGAAAAAACTATTTCAGTTTTTCTACTTCAAAATGTAACATTTTTATTTTTATTTGACTGAATATATTTCTCACAAATATGTAAAAACGTATTCAGGAATGAGTAGGACTGAATGCCCATGCAGCTGACAGAAATATGTTCTAAGTTATAAAAACTTTATTTCTGAATGTTCTCTGCACATCCAGTTTTTAAAATGTTTTAAAAACTTTTTTTTTTTCGTTCAGGCGTAGGAGGACGCAGAGGAGAGCTCAGTTCGGTGTTCGGTGTTATACAATAAAAATAAAACGTATGCAAAAAAACTATGTATTGTTTTCCGACAAAGCGTCAAAAGGCACCTGATGGAGTTTGATCTTCACATCAAACTACTTCTGTTTCACACAAATGCCGGTGGTGTCTGCCGAAAATTGATCGTCTGCCGAAAACTGATTGGTACCTCTAATCACTTTTTGGCAAGTGTAAAACTGCATTTTATGGGTTTTATTGGCCATTTAAAGGTATTTCAACAGGTAAAAAGGACTGCATGAGCTATACTCTGTCAAATATAACCCTCGAATGCAATCAAGTCGTTTAGCTCATACAGTCCTTTTTACCTGTTGAAATGCCCATAAAATGCAGTTTTACACTTGCCAAAAAGTGATTACAGACTCTATACTTATTGAGTGAACTGTTCTTTCTGCCTCAAAATGACTTGATTTCATTCGTGGTTGTTATATTTGATAAATTATAGCTCATTCAGTCCTGTTTACCTGTTGCAGAGCGGCTCTCTGCGTGCGCACTGAACACAGCACGCGAGTACTCAGTTGAGGTCTCGCGTCTTGTGCTTGAATGCTTTAAAATCTCTTGAATGTTTACATTGGCAAGGCTTAAAAACACATGCAAATGATAAGCTTTGGTGATGACGCGCAGCAGTGGCCCGTCAACTGTCCTGAGAGTCTTTTTAGGATGGCCTCGGGCAGTCTGTTGAAATCGCTGGGGGCCCCTATAATCGTCACCACCTTTCACCCCACTAGCGTCTGCCCTGACACGACATAAACATGAATGAACATCAGAAGGTGTGAAATATAAAGAACTTACTGACATGGATTCTCTCTCGTGTAATCGCCCAATCAAAGTGTTTGAATAGCGGAAAGACGTCAATGAAACAGCTTATAAACAAAACAAGTCAAAGTCAAATTTACCTCAGAAAAGCCATTCAGTTGGATAGCTTGTTAGTTAGCTAGAAATGAGAACCTTACAGAAGAACATATCGGTAAAACATTAAAGTCAAATATATGCGCTATATTATACATTAATTATATGTTTACTTAATCTGTTGTCTAATGTCACTTTTTTGTCTCATTTCTTCCCACAGAGGTGAAGCCAGAGGGTAAGTGACACCATTAACTTGCATTGACCGTTTCCAAATTAGAAGACCTGTAAATATAAAAAATATAATGTTATTAATACAGTAGGTTTCTTTAGTTTAACGTTGTTCTTTCATCTGCAGAAGCTCCAGAGGAGGATGGTAATAAATCTGAATGGTTATGAAAATCCTTTAGCAACTTCCTTGCATTATTTAAACCACATACTAACTATATAAATCACTTAGAATTTCTTTAAGAGTTCTAAGTTGGTGTGCATGAAAGGACTGTATGATATAATGTGCAATAATACCTATTATATTTACAGTGAGGTGTGTAGGCTAATACAATTGGCCTGCCCTATTATGAAAATGAATGTAATATTGAAATGAATGACTGCAAAACGTGAGAAGAGGAAAGAATTGTCTCCTTCCTTGTGCATGAAGCTCACGGAGAATTCAGTTATTTCAGTGATACTATAATTAATGTCCTTCATTGTTTAAGAAAACAATCCAATGTATTATTGTTTTATGCTTGAATTAATATGTTTTAAATATTTGCAAGGAATATTTAAAATGGAAACAGAGCGTGCTTCTTGTTGACACCATGAGTTGTTATTTACAGGATCCCTATCTGTGAATATCCGAGTCTGTCTGCATGTGTGCGTGTATTTTTGTATTTATATAACATACCTGTCACATGCTTGCAGAATGCACTGAGCTGACAGGACTTTTTGTGGAGAAGCCAGAAAGTGTGGTAGCCATTTCAGGTATAAAAACGCAAACACATTATTAAAGCTTCAAATAGTTGCCATAACAAAACAACCCCCATTACAGGATGAATGCTGCATTAAGATGGATCTTCTTTTTTTTTGACACAGGTAAAGATGTAACATTTGTGGTTAAGGTGGACTCCACCAACCTCACACGTAAACCCACCATGAAGTGGTTGAAGGGGAAGTGGATGGACCTCGGCAGCAAAGCGGGAAAACACATCCAGTTAAAAGAGACCTATGACAGAAACACGAAGGTTAGAGGGGAGTGTGTTGTATTGATACTCAATTCAATGTAAAGAATATTCATCATAACAGGATTTCCGAACTCATATCCAGGTTTGATGAATGTATGGTGTATTGAATGAAAGCCTGGTTCCACCATGGGATGAAAAAAATAAAATAAACGTAATTGACTTATGTCACAATTCAGACTTTTTTCTCAGAATTGCAAGATTTTAAGTCAGAATCGTGAGATATACATTCAGAATTGCAAGATTTAAACACAATTCTGAGAATAAGAGTCGGAATTGTGAGATATAAACTTGCAATTGCAAGAATAAATCAGAATTGTGAGATGAAAGTCACAATTACCTTTTTTTATTATTCTGTGGTGGAAAGAAAAATGCTGAATTGTGGGATGTAAACTTAGAATTAAGAGAAGAAGTCAGAATTGCTAGATGTAAACACAGAATTGTAATTATAAAATGGAGAGTTCCGGTCCTTGATTCTGATTGGCTGAGCCACGTTTGAAGCTGTTGTAAATTACTCTACAAACATACACCTTTGTTTACATTTGTGTGTTGCTCGACAACCACTTTGTTGCAACCACAACTGTTTCTGAGGAACTGCATTGTTTGGTGGAAGAATAATGTTTTTTTTTAATATCATTACACTTTATTTGCTCTGTTTTATTTTGTGAAACCTTATTACGTATATGGAATAACCGTTTTATAAAAGCAAGATAAGGTCAGATAAGGAAAAGGTCAGAATTCTGAGTTTACATCTTGAAATTCTGACTTTTTTTCCTCAGAATTGTAAGAAAAAGGTCAGAATTGTGATAAAATAAAATTGTGAGTTATAAACCTTTATGTTTTATTTTGTGGTGGAAACGGGTTTCCGTAAAATGGATCTTTGATCTTGGAAGAGCATTTGTATAAGTCAAATCTGAAATGTTAATAGTATTCATTATATCAACAGAAATATTCTAAATTCTTTAAAGGGGTGGTTCATTGCGATTTCACTTTTTTAATGTTAGTTAGTGTGTAATGTTGCTGTTTGAGCATAAACAATATCTACAAAGTTACGAAGCTGAAAGTTCAATGCAAACGGAGATATTGTCTTTTAAAATTCTGCCGGTTTAATGCCTACAAAAATGGCTGGTAGGGACTACAACAAGTTACTTCCCGGGTTCGTGACATCACAAACCCAGATAAACCCCGCCCTCGGGAAAAGGCAGCAAAGGAGCCTAGAAAAAACCCAGTGAACCACCCCTTTAAATAATTATATCAGTACTATATTGAATGGCCTTTTTTCTACAATATAGAATATAAATTTTCTTTACACTGAGTTGATCAATTTGAATTAATTTGTGATATTTATTTTATTACACATCATCCTTAAATGTGGCGCATTGCTTTCACTCTTTCACTCAGATCTACACGTACGAGATGAAGATCGTCAAGGTGGTCCCTGGAGACGCAGGTGGATACAGGTGTGAAGTGTCTGCTAAAGACAAATGTGACAGCTGCACCTTTGAGATCACTGTGGAGGGTTAGTGTGTCTCTCACAACAAAAATAACACTAAAACACCATCTTTAGTAGAATGACTGTTCTATATTTATCTTTCTTCCTTTTCTGTAGCTGCTGAACAAGAGGAGCAAGCAGATATTTTGTCTTCCTTCAAAAGAGCGTGAGTCTGAGTAGACAGACAGACGTGGGCGAATACACTTTTCTCACAAGTATGCAGCCACATATTTAGGATTTAACAGGGCTAAGTACAATAATTGAGCAATTGAACCAACCTTTAAAAAAACACATCGGTTAACTGTTATACACATATGTATTACATATATGTTTTTTTATAAATGTTATGACGTGTGACGTGTAAATTAAGTGGAAAAAAAAATACTTTTTTGAGTTAAGTGAATATATATACACACATACATATATTGTGTTTTGTGAATTCAATGTGTGCTCTTGTACAGAGATGCTGGGGAGGACGAGGGTGAACTGGACTTCAGTGCTCTTCTCAAAGCCGCTAAAAAGTAAGTGTTCTCTCTGTCCATTAAAACCACACTCCGTCTCCTCTAACCGCTCACTCTTATTTACCACATCACTCTCTTTCACAGGAAAAAGAAGCCTCAGCCTGAGCTGGAGATCGACGTTTGGGAGCTTCTGAAGAGCGCTCATCCCAGCGAGTACGAGAAGATCGCGTTTCAGTACGGCATCACTGACCTGCGTGGCATGTTGAAGCGACTCAAGAAGATGAAGGTCGTGGAGCCCAAAGTCAGCGAGGGTACAAGAAAGAGAGATCAATCAAAACTCAAGTCTCTGATCTTCTGTTTGTGACTGTGTGTTTGTGTGTGGGATGTTTGTGCAGCGTTCCTGAGACGACTGGAGTCGGCGTACTCCGTTAACAAGGGAAAGAAGATCGTCCTGTCTGTGGAGGTGGCCGACCCTAATGCTGAGGTCAAATGGCTCAAGAACGGCCAAGAGATCAAAACCTCTGCCAAGTGAGAATCCAGAAAATACACACAAATGCATTGAGTTTCAAAGACACATTCTTGAGAAAAGCACTTTCACTTGCTCATGTGGAGAAAGCATTACTAAGATGATCCATTTTTTTATATTTTAAGCTTTAAATGTGTTAAAATTGTCTCATGCACCAAACAAAATGGCAAAACTAACAACATTTTCCAACTATAAAAAAAGCAAAAGAGGTCACTAGAAGCCTGGAGATCCAAACTTATTTTATGTTTAATATTGTGAGGAAGCATCACCTATTTCCGTGATTTAACGTTCTCTTTTTATGGCAGATACATTATGGAGTCTGATGGAAATATTCGAACCCTCACGATTAACAAATGCAGTCTGGCAGATGATGCGGCGTATGAGTGTGTGATCGGGACTGATAAATGCTTCACGGAAGTCTTTGTTAAAGGTTTGTGCGAATTAATTACCATTTTTTTCATCAAATTCATCTAGAGAGCTGCAGTGCTCTCATTTCATTTCTTAACATAGACATTTGCAAAATCATCAACAAAAATCCATGATATACAGGTGCATCTCAATAAATTAGAATGTCGTGGAAAAGTTCATTTATTTCAGTAATTCAACTCAAATTGTGAAACTTGTGTATTAAATAAATTCAATGCACACAGACTGAAGTAGTTTAAGTCTTTGGTTCCCTTTCAGTCGGTCACTCTCGACGTCACGTCGGATGACCGACGAAATTGGGATCTCGCTTAGAGAGACCAATCTACTTCGAGTGTAAACTAAACGAGCCAATGCACATTGGCATGCGATTACACGTCGCCACAGCTCCTGTACCAACGCTGAGCAGCCGGGTCACCGGCTCGGCTCCTCAGCGAAAACCTGAATATGCGCTGCGTCTGCATATGCGCTGCAATAATCGCATGCCAATGTGCATTAGCTCGTTTAGTTTACACTTGAAGTAGATTGGTCTCTCTAAGCGAGATCCCAATTTCGTCAGTCATCCGACGTGATGTCTCCGTTCCCTCCTTCAGGGAACGAGGGTTACCATACGTAACCGAGACGCTCTTAGAAGAGATAGTGAATTGGTGGGTTTTTGTTAAATGTGAGCCAAAATCATCACAATTAAAAGAACCAAAGACTTAAACTACTTCAGTCTGTGTGCACTGAATTTATTTAATACACGAGTTTCACAATTTGAGTTGAATTACTGAAATAAATTAACTTTTCCATGACATTCTAATTTATTGAGATGCACCTGTATAGATATATTAATTAGCATTACATTTTTCCTCTAAGAATCACTTTGCAAACTAATGTCAAAGTAAAGTGTAAAACAGTAAGCTCCTCTAGCATTCTGAAGACACTATTATAGTCCAATGTATACAATGCAACAATGCCATTATCTAGTGTTAATGTTTAAAATCACCTTATCAAATTGCATTACAGAACCTCCGGTCACCATCACTAAACTGCTGGATGATTACCAGGTCGTGGTTGGAGAAAGAGTGGAGTTTGAGATCGAAGTGTCTGAGGAGGGAGCACATGTCATTTGGTAAACAAACTACAAACAGGCAATAGTTTACATCATCACGATACTGATAATGCTTTTGTTAGACATAAAACACTATGTGAGGTGTCTGACAATATATAATGCAACTCTATACGATATATATATATAAAATAGAAATCAGCACAATTGTTTAGATTAAAAAATTGAAATTTTAGATTAAATAAATGGAGCATTGGTGAGCATAAGAGACTTCTTTCAAAAACATAAAAAAATCGTATTTATCCCAGAATTTTGACCGGCCATGACTGTATGTGTAACTGCAGGATGTTTGAGGATCAGGAGTTGTCTCGAGATGACAAAAGTTCAAAGTATCGTTTTAAAAAGGATGGGAAACGCCACTGTCTTATTATTCAAGAGGCGACCGTAGAGGACAGTGGGATGTACTTTGTTTACACCAACGGAGGCCATTCGAAGGGAGAGCTCATCGTTGAAGGTAAAATCTGATCTCTACTTACAGCCCTCACCAGTTGTTTAACTAGTGGTTTTGCAGACTAAAGTTGAAAATCTTCAATCGTTTTTTTCTTCTCTTTGTCAAACTCAACCCCAGAGAAGGAACTGGAGGTGCTGCAGAGTATCGCAGATCTTACGGTCAAATCGGCAGAGCAGGCTATGTTCAAGTGTGAGGTGTCTGATGAAAAAGTCACAGGGAAATGGTTTAAGGATGGCGTGGAAGTTCAGGCCAGTAACCGTATCAAGATTTCCCATATCGGCAGGTCAGCATTCAGACACGTGTTCACTTTGATAAGACGTAATTGTACGGGTTTGAAATATGTGTGCGTGTGACTCCAGGATTCATCGTTTAACCATTGATGACGTCAAGCCAGAGGATGCTGGAGATTACACGTTTGTCCCAGACGGTTATGCGCTCTCACTGTCCGCTAAACTCAACTTTCTGGGTGAGAAGGAAACTCTCTATAGTGAGCGAAACTATCTCAGATTTGTTATGACTGTACATAAACAGATCATTCTTTTTCTTTCAGAAATCAAGATCGACTATGTTCCCAGACAAGGTAGGACAAAAATCAATCCCTAAGCCAGACGTTTTAATTTCTTATTCCAACATACTAGTTTGAAAATATGAATGATTAACCTTTGGTTAACTGCTAATTGGCCAGGGCTGCGTTTCCCAAAAGCATCGTAAGCTTAAGTACATCGTAGACCCACTGAAACCAATGAAGCTACGGTCAATTTAGGCTTACGATGCTTTTGGGAAAGACAGCCCAGACTAGTTCTGAAGACATAGTATTAACATAGAAGCTGAGTTTATGAAAACGGCCCCAGGTTGCTCTCTCTAACCACACTTGCTTGTATCCACTTACTTTGCCTTGCTCCTTTAAGATCCTCCTAAGATCCATTTGGATGTGGCCGGTAACATGGTTTCTCAGAACACCATCATTGTTGTTGCTGGTAACAAGCTGCGTCTGGATGTGGAGATCACAGGAGAACCCGCTCCCACCATCTGCTGGATGAAGGGAGACAAGGTACACATACAAAATAAAGACAATTAATCAGTAGTGATCATAATTATGTCATTTAATTTGACATATTTGGCCTAGTGGGTTATACACACGCTCCAAATAGGGATGCACTGATATAGAATCTCCACCAGTTAACTAAAACTTTTTTTAAATTAAAACTTTTTTGTTGATTGAAATTATGCTGAAATTAATTATAAATATTACAGGAAAAACCTAAAACAAAATAAAATTGGAAATGTTGCCTTGGCAACTAACTGAAGTATACATTTAAGCACTAAAATTATTAACAGGACATAAATAAAAACTAAAACTGAACTAAACTAAAACTAACACTGAAATAAAAACAAATGAAACCTAAATTAAACTAACTAAGAACAAATAAACAAACTAATAGAAATGACAAAACCACATAGCAAAAAAAAAAAAAAAGTATTAAAATTAAAATTAAAATCATATAGAAATAATCATTCTAAATATTAATAAAACTGCAATAGTATATAAGTATTAAAATAACACTCATCTCTACATGCTTCAAATGACTCCAGACTTAATATAGAGTGGAAAACTGCTTTTAATTGAATTTATTTATTTTTATATTTTTACACAGGTATGACTGCAGTTAAAAATCAAATACATGCTTATTGCCAGGGTTTTAAATGGAAAATTGAATATACACAAATATAACATAAAGAAACAAAATGCATGCATGCCATCGATAAAGTACTGACTGACTTTTTTATTTTATTTTATAACAATATTTTGTGTATTTTTGATCAAATAATTGCCGTTTTGTGAGCAGAAGAGACTTACAATCCCTAGCTTTTGAATGGTATTTATGTGTGTTTATGGTGTATTTATGTGAAATTAATAAATACATTTTGCTTTGACTTTTTTATTGTTATTAGTATTGGTCTGACGTATTGTATTGGCTGAAAACCATATAACAAAATTTTGCAGTATTTGTTAAATATGCTTTGTTTGTAATGTATTTTTAAAAATCTAAGAAACTATTTAATAGTGTTTGCTAAATGAATAAATAAAACGGCTGTACCTGTGTGTCACAGCAAGTGACAGACGCAGAGGGACGTGTGCGTGTGGAAAACAGGAAAGACCTCAGCTGTTTCGTCATTGAAGGAGCAGAGCGAGAAGATGAGGGCAACTACACTATCACTGTCACCAACCCTGCAGGAGAGGACAAGGCCAACCTATTCATCAAAATCGTAGGTGTGTTTCCAGCACTGCCTCTTTATTCCTGCAGATGGCACTCTGATTCTGACCAGAAACCAAATTTTAATTTCCAAAATAATGTCAACAAAAGTAGTTCTGCTAGCTACACACACTACAGTGATCTCTAATGATTGAATCAATGTTGGAGTTTGAATGCGCCTTTAGGGTCTAAATGCACATTTAGATTTACATTTATGCATTGGCCAAATGCTTTTATCCAAAGTCACTTACATTGCATTCAAGGCAAACATCTTATCAGCTCATGCAATCCCTGGGAATCGAACCCACGCCGTTGTAGATGTTCCTGAAGTCTCTGATGTGTTGCAGACGTTCCTGATTCTCCCGAGAACGTGAAGTGTACCGGAGTAGGAGAAGACTGTGCCACTATTATCTGGGAACCTCCGAAGTTTGATGGAGGAGCACCTTTAAAGGGTAATACGCACTTGTTAGAGGTAACATAACACTCACACACCTGTAAATACTAGGGATGCATCGACGTATCTGCCAATAATCGGTATCGGCCGATAAAAACTATTATCCGCGTTATCGGCAGATTATCGACAGATATTTAAAAACAGTGGATAATCAGGGCTGATTATTTCCTGTCAATCAAATGGAGGCAGAAAGTGAGTCAGAAAGCAACTTGCATGAAGAAAATGTTTCTTGTGTTGAATTTAGGGCTGTCTAAGTTAAAGGAACAATAGCACATTAACACAGGTTCTAATTGACCCTATAAATCACCCATAGTTCAAGCCAGGGTTGCCAGGTCCACAGTATTCCCTTCATAAATCATTATTTGTAATGTGCCTCCAATCCAATAATCACAAAGAGCTTTGTTACTTCTAATAAGAAACAAAGTCTAGCTTTCAAATTCTGTACATCTTATCACAAAATTCAAACAATAAATGCCATTTTGACGCTCTTAAATGTGACGTGACAGATCGCTGTAGCGCTTCAGTTCATTCAGGAGCGCGGAGCGCAAGTCTCTTCCACTTTAATACAAGTTATAGCACAAAATAAACATGAATGAACATCACAAGGTATGTTGAGAGATACAGTACAACTTACCAAAATGTATCATGTCTCATATAATCACTCAATAAAAACAATAGAGGGAGCTTATTTACTGTTACATATGTATGTTTGAATAAATCTGTCATGAACGGTTTAAGAAGTTTTTTTATGAAAACTACCTGTGCAATTAAGTAGTATACAAACGTTGTTGAGTGTGATTTTTATATCTATAATAAATAGCATTGAATATAATAGTGTTGTTGTTCATTTTAACCTCTTATGTACCAAAGGAGAGGGTTCCCTGTATAGTTTGCAGCATTAGTTGGGAGACATTTGTTTTCCTTAAGAAAACCAAACTATCGGCATCGGCAGATTAATTCTGAATAATTGGCTGTATAATCGAATTGTATAATAATTGGCTGAATAATCGTATTGGCTGAAAAAATTCATATAGGTGCATCTCTAGTAAATACCTAGTACAGGTAACTCAGCCATGCCCACTTAGGTACTAGCACAATATTTGACACAATTAGAAGAAGTCACTGAATCATAAGAGGAATCTGTTTGGCTTCTGTTTCTTAGGCTATCTGATGGAGAGGAAGAAGAAAGGATCATCTAGATGGACGAAACTTAACTTTGACGTCTGTGAGAGCACAACATACGAGGCCAAGCGCATGATTGAAGGCATTCTGTATGAGATGAGAGTTTTCGCAGTCAATGGGATCGGAATCTCGGCTCCCAGCCTCAACTCTAAACCATTCATGCCAATCGGTGAGAAGGTTGTGCTATTGTTCATATGGTTATGAACTTTTGACGTCTCTCGCTTTAACTCTTGATGAATTTCTCTCTCGCAGCACCCACCAGCGAGCCCACAAGGCTGACCGTTGATGATGTAATGGACACTACGTGCTCACTGAAGTGGCTGGCTCCTGAGAAGATCGGAGCTGGAGGGCTGGATGGATACATCATTGAATTCTGCAAGGAAGGAGGTGAGTCATCTGCTGGAATCATCTGTGCCAAATGATTCTGGGCCTAAACCGAACACTACATAGTGAAAGCACAGCGGATGCAAACCTACTTCACCATTGTGCACTTGAGCAAAGTTCCTCCAAGAATATGTGGATAAGGTATATGTGAATAAATAATGCAAGATAAATGAAAGGGCTTGGTGATATAGCTTATGAAAAATAACTTTTGTTTTATTTAGTGTCCAAGGCAACATTTTTCTAAATTTTAAACTAAAATAATTGAATCTAAAACAAAAATGAATAAAAAATACACAGACATTTAATAAAAAATAAATAAATAAATAATAATAATAATAATAATAGTGACAAAAACACAAGAAAATAACTAAAACTTTATCTTAGAATTAAAATTTTAAAAATTTAAAAATTTAAATTAAAAAACTATCATAGAATGTCAATGTTACTAAAATTATACTGTTTTGATTATGCATCACATATGTATTGATATGTATGTTTTTGCTCTAAAATGGTTTAAAAAGTTATTTAAATTAAAATATTTACATTTAAATTGGAGTAATTATTTGAACTTGCTAGTAGTTAATCCAAAATGTTTAATGCTATTAATAAACTAATAAAAATCTAGTCAATGATTTATTTAAATGAACACTTAATTTAGTAATAAATGTCATTTTTATTTATATGCAAAAATATCTAGTTACAAATAGCAATAATTATGTATGTGTGTGTGCATATACATATATATATATATAAACAGACACGCAACTAAAACACTAAAATCAGATTTTTGAATCAGCTCATTTAAATAAAAATAATAATAATTATAACTTACTGTGCCAACTTTTCCCACTGAATTTCAAATGGAAGTCTTTAACACTCGCGTTAATCTCATAAAAAGAACCAAGCTAAATCATTGCAAATATATGGTGAATATTTTTTTTAATCAATTAATACAATTATTTATTTATTCATTTATTTATTTGAAAAAAAATCAGTATTTAATCTTATTTAGCAAATGTTTTAAATGTTTTTGTCTTAAAAATATTAATTTTAATTTTAATTAGTAATTTTTAAATTAATTATTATTATAAATATGTAAATATAAATATATATTTTTAATTACATTTTGGTTTTAATTATTATCAATAATCTATTTATATTTCTTTCTCTGTCTCTGCGTGTCAGAAACGGAGTGGCATCCTGCTAACACGGATCTGGTTGATCGGCAGAGTTACACAGTGAGGAACCTTCCCACAGGAGAGAAGATGAATTTCCGTGTGTTTGCGGTGAATGTGGCGGGCCGCAGCCCACCTGCACTGCTCGGGCAACCCGTCACCGTCAGAGAGATTATGGGTGAGGAGACAACAAGATTCAGGAATAATAAAAAAAACCCTGTTCCTTCACAGTGATGTTCTCCTCTCGTTTCAGAGCATCCTAAGATCCGTCTGCCTCGTGAACTCAGAACCAAGTTCATCAAGAGAGTCGGAGAGAAAATCAACCTCGTCATCCCCTTCCAGGTGTGTGTATGTTAAATACATCTATGATAAAGCACATCGCTTCACAAATGAACAAGTGCATGTGTTTTTTCAGGGCAAGCCTCGTCCTGTTGCTGTATGGCTGAAGGACGGCCAGCCGGTGGATGAAAAGAAAGTGGGCGTCAGGAACTCAAACGTCGACTCCATCCTTTTCATTCGTTCTGCTGAAAGAGAGCACTCTGGAAAATACACACTTACCTTAAAAATTGAAAACATGGAGGACTCGGCTAACATAGACATCCGAATTGTAGGTAAGATAAAATGATTTTAAAGATGTGTAGATACTTTTTCACTCATCTTGCATTTTTATTAATGAATATCATTAAAAATAGTGGTCGACCAATAAGGATTTTCATTGGCTGATGCTGAATTTGGTGTATAGAAATCATAGTGGCTGAAATGATAGCATTATTTTTTTAAATAATTTCAAAGTACAAAATTAATATGCTATATTGATGTATAAATATTAAATTACCCCCCAAATTTTAAGTTAATTTCAATAATTATATAACACATTTGCAAGTTTATGGTTGGCTGATGTCGGAATATGATCACATGACATGCCGGTAAACAAAATATTTAACCTTTTTTCTTTGTTATGTTAAGGGTTTTTATTTTACAATTATTTAACATGAATTAATAATTTTACATTTTTAATTATTATTAATTTATTAGGTTTACTTAATTATGTAAATGTAAATCATTTTAAATAAATTTAATTTTACATTTTGGATTTCATTATTATTAATTTATTAAGTTTATTTCATCATTTATGTAAATATAAATAATTGTCAAATTATTTATTTGAATTTAACATTTTGGATTTAATTATTATTAATTTATTTGTGGACATATAAATGATTTAATTTTGCATTTTAAAGAGTTAATTAAATCTTTAAAATATTTATTTAATTTTTTATGATTCCTAATTAGCTTTCATCAACTCCCAAACCTCACGAATCCCAGTTTTTGGGAAACTTAAACTGACAGCCCTGAAATCTCCCTCTGTCTTATCGCTCGCATGCTGACCCCTGATTCACTCCAGAGACGTTCATCAAGTTCATCTGACACTCCGACTCTCTTCCCAGATAAACCCGGCCCTCCGACTCAAGTGCATGTGACTGACGTCTGGGGTTTCAACGCAGCGCTGGAGTGGAATCCACCCAAAGATGACGGCAACTGTGAGATCACCGGGTACACGATCCAGAAAGCAGACAAGAAAACCAAGGTGAGAGATCTGATCTCCATTTGTGACCTTAGACCACAAAACCAGTCATAAGGGTCAATTTTTCGAAAATGAGATGTATACATCATCTGAAAGCTGAATAAATAAGCTTTCCATTGATGCATGATAGGACAAGGACAATCTTGTTAGGATAGGACAATATTTGGCCGAGATACAACTATTTGAAAATCTGGAATCTGAGGGTGCAATAAAATCTAAATATTGAGAAAATCATCTTTAAAGTTGTCCAAATGAAGTACTTAGCAATGCATATTACTAATCAAAAATTAAGTTTTGATATATTTACAGTAGGAAATTTACAAAATATCTTCACTGAACATGATCTTTACTTAATATCCTAATGATTTTTGGCATAAAAGAAAAATCAATCATTTTGACCCATACAATGTATTGTTGGCTATTGCTACAAATATACCCCAGCGACTTAAAACTGGTTTTGTGCTCCAGGGTCACATTTATCCACCAAAACACTAAACGGATTGTTCACCCAAAAATAAGTCTGTCATCGTTTACTCACTGTCATATCTTTCTATGACTTAAGCGTGACTTCAAACTAGTAATAGAGTCATATGGCCTACTGTTTTGGTGATTTATCATCATTTTTTGACCTCAACAGCATCCATCTATTTACGGTAGGGTGTTTGGAACAACATGAGGGTGAATAAATGATGACAGAACCTTTATTTTTGTGTGAATGACTCTCTTTCTCCATCACTTCCTCATGTGTAACGCTCTGACCCGTAGGAGTGGTTTACGGTGTATGAGCACAATCGCCGCACTAACTGCACCACCTCTGACCTGATCATCGGAAACGAGTACATGTTCCGCATCTACAGCGAGAACCTCTGCGGTCTCAGTGAAGATGCCTGCATGAGCAAGAACACCGCCGTCGTTCCCAAGACCGGTCAGTGTGCTGAGCGACGTACATGTCGGGAAAATGCCACAACAAATATCATACTTAGTTGTTGGACTGCACTGCAAAAAGAAAAAGTATTAGGAGCAGATAAACTGTGGTTACTGTTGTTGACTAGTTAACTATTTAGAGCTGCACGAATCAATGGAAAAATCCAATGGACACAATTATTAAAAATACATAATAAAAATTTTATGTATATGTGTATATATATATATATATATATATATATATATATATACAGCCAAATATTATCCTATCCTAACAAACCATACATCAATGAAAGCTTATTTATTCAGCTTTCAGATGATGCATAAATCTCAATTTCGGAAAATTGACCCTTATTACTGGTTTTGTGGTCCATGGTCACATATACACACACACATAATTTTTATTTTATTTTCATTTTATTATTAATAAAAAATTACTTCATTACTAAATATAAAATTACTAAATAAACTCAAAATAATTTCACTGTAAAATACAAATCAAGAATTTATTATTATTATTATTGTTGTTGTTGTTGTTGTGTTTGTAGGGCTTCGCAATTTTGTGATTATATATGAATATGGCTATAATATAATTACAGCTAATACTATATAAATTACTAATAAATTGCAAAAAAATACAGGAAATTACTCAAATCAAACTTACAAAGTAAAACTACTAAATAAAAACAAAATGAGAAATATTACTTGCAATATTTCACTGTAAAATAAAAAACTGAGTATTTAATAAAAATATATAATAATTTGTTATTAAATAACAACTGTAAAATTACAATACTAATATGTATGATTAAATTTCCTAAATATCTATCACTTAATGTCTTCATTTCTTAATTTACAAACATTGAACCTTAAAATTACGCACACTGCGTTCCCAAATGCACATTATAAGCAGCCCAAACTCCAACACTTCATTCTGAACATGCAGCCGATGTATTTATTTACATAAATCCCAGCCGCTGTAATTTGATCATCTCATTAATCGTGCAGCTCTATAATTAATACGGTAGTACGTTCACACAAGCATTGTCAGGATTATGTTCGCTAGATATAATTTTAGCACATGTTTGTAGATTTTGATGTCAGTATCTCAATGTCACACTCTCAGGTTTGGAACATAAACGAGCTCCCTACAAGGAGAAGGACATGAGCTGTGCTCCGAAGTTCACCGCACCCCTCGTCGATCGATCTGTGACTATCGGCTACAGCACCGCCATCAGCTGCTCAGTCAGAGGCTTGCCAAAGGTGCGAGACAGTGATCATCATCTCCACATACTCTAGTGAACATGAGGACACAGTCTTTCTCTTAAGCTCAGTATGTTATTATACTGAGGCAGAACACTACACTTGAGATGTTGCCATTTCCCCAGATGATTAATCACAGTAGATTAAGGCAATTGTTTACTTTAAGTTTTCTAACATGTTCAATTTAAATATGTATAGATATGAGGCATTATCTAGTTAAACATGCAGTAATTTGCATGAATTTTCTGAACATAAATCTGAAAGCCAGGTTAAAAATTCCTGTTGCATTTTGTTGACATTAGAGTCAAAGGATTTTAAAGACGGGATTTTGGATATTTTTTATATTTTTATCAGAAAATACTGTCAACAGACCGAGAGCAGTACATTTACACCATGTTTTTAGGAATAAAATGTTATATAAAATTAGATATATGACCAAACCCCATTAGACTATAGATTAGAATAAAACTGTTAAGTTTGGTGGATGTAAGTGCTGCTGAAGTGGAGGGAAAAAAAACATATTTTGAGGAATCTGCCTTTAAATATATGCATAGTAATTGAAATCTACAAATGCACGTCTGAAACAACATCTTATAAAAAGCCAAATAGCCCAAACTCTCAAAACTGACCAATATTTTTGCCTGTAATGTGTTGCTTTAACATATACTCACCATCATTCAACATCCTTCACGTCTCCACAGTCCACTGCGGAAAAATCAAACATAAAAAACAATGTCATATCCAGTTTAATGTTATAATGCATAGGGCTGTCAAAAAAACATTCGAATTTCGTCCAAAAAAATTACGTCAAAACTGAAACCAAGCCGTTCACACAGAACGCATATTTATCAGATTTTCTAGAGGGACATCTATCAGCGTTGCTCTCGCGTCTCGCACAAGAGAGCGGCATGTTTAGAAAGCCATGTAAAATTAATGCAAGTTCAACTTTTAAAAAACATGTCTAAAGACGTTATGCCGGTTTTTCCCCATCCCACTGTATCTCATGTTTTTAAATGAAGAAAGTAGCCTACTTTTGTGATTGGTTTTCGGTCCTTTGTATTAAACTATACATACATGCATGGTGCTGTTTTTTTTCTAATTGTTTAAGCAACTTTATTCATTATATATGGTTTATAAACATTATGCACTTTTTTCGAAGATAGTCGTGTTATTTTATTACGCTTTGAAGAAACGTGCATAATATTTTGCTCGATGAAGCCAAAAGCTAACTGAAATTATGCCTTTTAAATTTTAATATAATTCGAATTTTGATCATATTTAAGTCGAAAATTCGAATTTAGTTTTTCAGTCATTTTGACAGCCCTATAATGTCATGAGATGTACTTAGTTAGTAAATAAACACTAAATTTCACCTCTGAGCAGAGCAATTCTGTGTTTCTGTGCAGCCGAAGATCATCTGGATGAAGAACAAGATGATATTAGGTGACAATCCAAAGTTCCTGATGCAGAATAACCAGGGAGTTTTGACTCTAAACATCCGCAAACCCAGCACCTTCGACAGCGGGAAGTACTCTTGCAAGGCTGTGAATGAGCTCGGAGAAGATGAGGTGGAGTGCAAACTGGAAATCAGAGGTAATTTACATGTACACTGAAAAGAAACTGATGTAGAACCCATTTTCAAGGAGAGATTGCTAGTGAATTTCACAAGTTATTACAAAGAAACAGCAAGTAATGCACTGAATTACGTGTGAAATTTTGAAATAGAAAAACCTAAATATTATTTTCTCGTATAACATAGTCTTAAGGTGGAAGTCGTGGCCTAATGGTTAGAGAGTCGGACTCGTAACCCAAAGGTTGCGGGTTTGAGTCTTGTACCGGCAGGGATAAGGATTATGTGTAGGGTTAGGTGCTAGAAAATATGATTAGCTCAGTATAAAACCCAGATAATTCAAAGCGTCACACAGCGTGGGAACAAGAGTTCATTGTTTTAAACGCAGTACTTCAGTGAATCACTAGAGGGCGCATGTAGTACAGCGGCGCCTGCAGTGTTTCCTTCATTAAACTGCTGCTGTGTCATGTTTTCTGACATGCTTGTGTCACCAGTTAAACACTATTACCAATGTATAACATTAGAATATGCCATCAGACAGCATCCAGCTGGAAAGTTACTTGACACAGACAAAGAATGTGCACAAACAACGTTATGCAACCGATCAAATCATCGCCGGAGGAGGATGAATACATTTAAGGTGGTTTAATGTATATGTGTCGTACTGACAGCACACAAGCTTCAGATGCAGGAAAAACCAGATGCTTTATGGGTTTGTAGCTCTGTGCAACATGTTACAGGAAGAGAATTAAAGCAGGAAAGTCATACTTAATTTCACATTTGTCTTTTTAGTAATGCCAGTGGCTGGCATTTCAAATAGCACATTATCATAGTGCTACATTTGGATTCGGTGCGCAGAACACATCAAGTAGATATTATGCACATTTTCTGCTCATTCGATCCACTGATCTTCACAATTTACAGTTAGATATCCAAATCCAGCTAACTTGGTCATATTTTCTGCACTATCATAGATGTGTTAATCTGTTTATAATAGTAGTTTACCCAGAAGGCCATTAGTGCATGGCTTTGGTGATATAAAAGACATTAACTGACCTGTTTTGATGGTCAAGACAACATGTGTTAAAATGTAATCTCGTCTCCTTGCATTGATTGAGATGCCTGTTTTGGGGCATTTTACATTTCTTTCATGATATTTAAGGACATTTATCACTAAAAATATTTAAATATGTATTATATTTAGCCTATTTTAGGGCATTTTTACATGTCTTTCATGACATTTAAGGACATTTATCCCTAAAAATATTTAAATATGTATAATATTTAGCCTATTTTAGGGCATTTTTACATGTCTTTCATGACATTTAAGGACATTTATCCCTAAAAATATTTAAATATGTATAATATTTAACCTGTTTTAGGGCATTTTTACATTATTTTCATGACATATAAGGACATATATGATATATCCTTAAAATATTTAAATATGTATAATATTTAGCCTATTTTGGGGTATTTTTACATTATTTTCATGGCATTTAAGAACATCTATCTCTAAAAAAATATTTAAATATGTATAATATTTAGCCTATTTTGGGGTATTTTTACATTATTTTCATGGCATTTAAGAACAATTATCCCTAAAAAAATATTTAAATATGTATTATGTTTAGCCTATTTTAGGCCATTTTTACATGTCTTTCATGACATTTAAGCATATTTATCCCAATTTTGTATTTATTTATTTTTTTTAAATGTAATATATTTTGCTTATGTTGGGGCATTTTTGCATTCATGACATTTAAGGATATTTATCCCTAAACATATTTAAATATGTATTATATTTAACCTACTTTGGGTATTTTTTACATTATTTTCATGACATTTAAGGATATTTATCCCTAAACATATTTAAATATGTATTATATTTAACCTACTTTGGGTATTTTTTACATTATTTTCATGACATTTAAGGATATTTATCCCTAAACATATTTAAATATGTATTATATTTAACCTACTTTGGGTATTTTTTACATTATTTTCATGACATTTAAGGATATTTATCCCTAAACATATTTAAATATGTATTATATTTAACCTACTTTGGGTATTTTTTACATTATTTTCATGACATTTAAGGATATTTATCCCTAAA